CTGTCCGGGTAGGGAGGAGACTTACCTCACTGGGCACAAGAGGGGGAGGTGGGAGGAAAGGGAAAGAACAATTACAAGCAGCTGGACCCGTGAGGAGCTGTGAGCAGGGCGGCTGCAGGGAGGCCTGGCCACTGCAGGCCCACGTCCTCCTCCAGGAAGGCCATCGGCAAGGTCTACAGCGCTGCTTTGAACGTCATGCGTTCCCCTGGATACTCGTGACAAGGAACATCTCCTGTGTACTGACGCGAGCCACTCCTCTGCGGTTCCGACCCCAGGCACACACCCCAGAAGCACTTCTGTACATATAAACCAGGCACACACGCACACACACAACGATGTTCATGGATAAAAACTGTAAACAACCTCAGTGTCCATCAACAGGACGAAGGTAAATCAATGTTGGTATGTCCATATGAGAAAGAAATTACACCAACTAGTCTCTGGGCCGTGGGTTGGCAAACCAAGGCCCGTGGGCCACTTGCAGCCCGTTGTCTTTTTCTGTACAGCCCAGGAGTTACAAACAGTTTTTACGTTTTTCTTTTCAACTGTGGTGAAAATAGACGCACCAAATACATCTTTAAATAGTTGAAAAAAAATCAAAAGAAGACTATTTCCTAACATGTGAAATTACATGAACTTAACATTCAAAAGTCCACACATAAAGTTTATCGGGGCACAGCCATGCCCACGCGTAAGTGCTGTCAGAGCTGAGCCACTGCCGCAGAGCCCGTCTGGCCCTCAAAGCTGGAAATATCTGCTCTCTGGGCCTTTGCAGGGAGTCTGCGGACCCTAACAGGGCTGCGCACGTCGACACGGCGGCTGCTCAAAAACGCCTGCTGGGTCGAAAGCGTGCACAGAGGGCATGTGTCGCCTGATGCGTTTACGCGGGTCTTCGAACACCCACTGGGAGGAGAACTGAGGGCATGGCGCTCAAAGGGGTCGGACTTCACAGTGTTCTGTTGATTAGGCTGGGCAGTGTACACATGCATGCTCCTTACATTTGTCTGTATGTCTAAAAATACTAATAATAGAATTTGTCATGGATTGAATTGTGTCCCCTGAAAATACGTGTATCAATTTGGCTGGGCCATGATTCTCAGTATTGTGTGACTGTCCACCATTTTGTCATCTGACGTGATTTTGCTATGTGTTGTATATGCTATCACTAGGATGTTAATGAGATGGATTAGGGGCCGTTATACTGATGAGATCTACAAGATCAGATTATGTCTTAACCCAATCTCTTTTGAGATATAAAAGAGAGAAGCGAGCAGAGACACATGGGAACCTCATATCACCAAGAAACAAGAGCCAGGAGAATAGTGCATCCTTTGGACCCAGGGTCCCTGAGATGAGAAGCTCCTTGACCAGGGGAAGACTGATGACAAAGACCTTCCTCCAGATCTGACAGAGGGAGAAAGGCTTCCCCTGGAGTTGATGCCCTAAATTTGAACTTGCAGCCTATTAGACTGTGAGAAAATAAATTTTTCTTTGTTAAAGCCATCCAGTTGTGGTATTTGTTATAGCAGCACTAGATGACTAAGACAGTATTAACTAAATAACAATACCCACACATTAAAGGATAAATGGAAAAAAATAGCCAAGACAATTTTGTAACAGAATAGAAATTAGGGCCTGCCTGCTCTATGAGATATTAAAATATTACAATGCTACAGTATTTAAAGCAGTATAGTACTGGTTCAGGAACTGTATAGAAAACAAAAAAATACTCTCTAAGCTAAATCATTAAAATCAATTGACAGCTTATTGGATTAAAACAAATCATTATCTGAAGATTAAAATAAATAAATAAATAACTGTCAAAAAATTAAAAGGCAAATGACTAGATTGGGAAAGATCTGTAACAGACAAGTAGCAATTACTTTAATTAATAAAGAGCTCTCACAAAACAACAAGTGCAAACACACTTTTAACAAAGGATATGAGTAAAAGCACTACACAAAAGAAGAATGGCAAATGGCCAATAAATAGCTTAAAAACTTTAATACCACTAAGGATTAAATGAAGTTTTAAAAGATGCATTTTTTTTTAACTTATCATATTGGTAAAAATTTAAAACATAATTCCCTGGTGAGCAAAGCCACAGTAAAACAGGCATTCTCACTCACTGCTGGTGGGTGTATAAACTGGTACAACCTATCTGGAAGGTGATTTGGTGGTATGGATCAAAAGTCTTAAAAAATGTGCCTATCTTCAATCCAGTGATTCTAATTCTACCAATTTGTCCTAAGAAGATCACGAAATAGCACAAATATTTATATTCAAGGATATTTATCATATTGTTATTTATATTAACAAGAAATTGGAAAAATATGAAGGCCCAGCAGAAGTAGAAATGGTTAAAGTGATAACAATATACCCACATGAGTGAATATGGTGCCATCAGTAAAAGTATTCTGATGAATAGTTAACATCAAAGGAAAATGTTCAAAACAAAATTGAAAAAGAGTAGGCTATAAAACCACATACTACAGGGTCTCGTATTGAAAAAAAAAAAAGAAATTGAACAAAAGCAAGAGAAATACATGGAAAGTGAGGGGGGTGCACTAGGAGAGTGGCATTGAGGGTCTCCCTGATTCTCCCAGGTGGTCAGGAGGTGTTCCCGTCCTTACCCTTTAAACTGTACATATACATTTTATAATATTTATGATACAATTCGTAATTTAAAAAAATGGCAGGAAACACATTGAAATGCTATTGGTAACTATGTTTGGGTACTGAAAATTGGAAGGTTTTTTAAAATGAAAATGTAACACTCAAACAACTAGTAAAAGCTATTACAGCCCACTGCCTATTGGCCAGAGTTGTGTGATAAACACATTTATAACAATGACAAAAAAAAAAGAGTAGCTGCTGAGGCTGCTTATGTCCAAAATGGTGTGGGCATCAGATCTCCTCCTCTCACTTCACTACCCGCCGCCGTCAAGTCGATTGCGACCCACAGCGACCCTACAGGACAGAGGAGAGCTGTCCCGTGCGGTTTTCAAGGAGCAGCTGGTGGATTCAAACTGCCAACCTTTTGGTCAGCGGCTGAGCTCGTAACCACTGTGCCACTAGGGCTCCTCTCACTTCACTAGGGGAGGAGAATCATTAGCATCAACAGCCCAAGGCTGATTGCTATGAGGCAAGGTCGGACATACCTCCACCCTCCAACCTTTTTACAAATTCTGACACCAGCCGTCCCTCCTGCGGCACTCTTTCCTTCTTTGCTGGGTTCAATTATTCAATGGAATGGCCACACAAAACGCAGAGACCATACTCGTAGTTATGGGGTTTATGAGGGCAGTAACAGGTTACAATTCAGGTTCAGGAACGCTCAGAGTACAGGTCTTTGATCAGGACAGCCTCTTGTCTGTCGTGCCCACAGGCAGGTCTCTCTCTGACCCTCAGCCCCTCAGCCTGGCCTCTGCCCTCTTCGGGCAAGTGTTACAAAGCTCTTTAGCTCCACTGACAAGTACCCAGAGGCACCCCACTCTGCTACCAAGCCTCCTGCCCGAAGGCACTCAGCTTTTCTGCTCTGTAGGCCTGGAAACCCACAGCACCATCTCCTGCCATTCTCCTGGCTCTGCTGCTGGTTCTCTGCCATGCTTGCCACTGCTTCTTGCTGTCTTGAGCTGTCTACGGCTCTCTCTGTCTCCTGGGTCTAGGACATTCTAAGCACAGGGACCCCAGGTCCAAAGGACACACTGTGCTCCCGTCTCTTCATCTTGGTGGTAGTGAGGTCCCCCCTTTTTGTCTCTGGGATGGCTCATTTTCCAAGCCTAGTGGGGTGCCACAACTGACCAATCCCCTTGTTAGGGTTCCATACACTTTATTTGCATGGTCCCAGCCCCACAAGGATGCCATCCACCTTACTTGCATTATTAGCAAGTTATCCAATTACCTTGGTGGGCCACAAGCACCTCATCTGCATAGTCCCACCTAGTCATTCGGTGGGAGTTACAAGACATGGCGAGAAGGGCCATATAAAAGCAATCCACTGCCCTATAACAAACTCCTCATGGGATTTGGTTCCTTGGTTTGGAGGTTTAGGATCATGGTTTCTTGACTCTAAACCCAGTTAACTGATCTAATAACATGTCCAGTGCTTCTGTTCTACCTCCTAGTTTGCTGCGTAGTGCCTGGGGTCTTAAAAGCTTGCAAGCAGCCAGCCAAGGCACAATAATTGGTCTCTATTCGCCTGGAGCAACAGAGAAAGAAGGAGAGTCAGGAATAGGAGGAGGAGATAGAATATTTGGCTAACTGCCTCCATGAACAACTGCCTCCTTTGCCATGAAACGAGAAGAACTGGATGGTGCCCAGCTACCACTACTGAACATTTTGATCAAAGACTCTATAAAAGAATTTTGATCAAAAGGGGGAAAATGCAGAACAGAATTTAAAATTATAATGCACTCATGACTTCTTGGAGCCAGGAAGGGTGGATGAACCTCTGAAACTACTGCCCTGAGATAATCTTTAAACCTTAAACCAAAACTATCCCCTGAAGTCTTCTTAAAACCAAATAATAGTTTAGCTAAACTGGTAAAAAATGTCTGCCTTGAGCATTATGCTCTTTTAAGACCCATCTATACGGGATCAAATTGACAACAGCAACTTGAAAGGCTAGACAGGAAACTTAGGGGGCAGTGAATTCATGTCAACGAGGGAGGAACAACTCAGAAAAGGAGAGTGAGAATGTTTACACGACTCAAAGAATGTGATCCCTGTCACTGAACTGCACATGGAGAAATGTGAATTGGTGTATGTTTTTGCTGTGCATATTTTCAACAACAACAAAATGATATTTATATAAAAAAATAAAGCCCATTCCTCAGATGATGGACTGTTACCTGAGCTGTGAAACGAGGCTGCACCTGTCCCAAGGGCAGGCTACAATCCAGTGGTGGCCGAGGCAGCTCACCTGGGCTCCGGGCTTCCAGGACAGGAATTGGGGAAGGGCCAGGTGGCGTCCCTGCGGTGTCTAGAAACGAGAGGAGGGAAAGAGCTTGTTCTCTGTGTGTACATCACTTCCGGACTTCTCTCTTGCTGAATACAAACACTCAAAAAGAATAGCATGTACTTCTCCAAAACCAAAGTGATTATTATTTCACAGAGAAAACTGGGATGGGGGATGGATAATTGTGAACTGTGTGGCACAAACAGCATCTTACAGACCAGTGGAACACACACACATGCTGCCACACACACACAGCTTCTCAAAAGAGCGGCAGAAAGGAACACGTTCATCAACAGACCCAAAGATAGATCCCTGCCACAGCACACAAAAACAAGGGGCAAAGTATATACACTTAAAAGCTGTGCCTAGAAATGATCCAGGCACTCAATGAATATCCATTAATGGTCACTCGAAGGTTTGGTTTTGTTTTTTTTTAATTTTTTTTTAATTGTACTTTAGATGAAGGTTTACAGAACAAATAGTTTCTCATTAAATAGTACACATATTGTTTTATGATATTGGTTAACATGACATGTCAACACTCTCCCTTCTCAACCTTGGAAGACCTTTTTTTTGGTGAAAATATACATAGCCAAAGTTACACCACTTCAAAAGTTTCTACATGTACAATTCAGTGACATTGATTACATTCTTCCACTTGTGCTGCCATTCTCACTATCCTTTTCCAAATTACTCCATCACCATTATCTTCAACTCACTGCCCCTTAGGCTTCCCATCACACCTTTTGAGCTGCTGTTGTCAATTTGATCTCACATAGATAATTCTTTTTTTTTGTACCTTAGATGAAGGTTTGCAGAATGGTTTATCATTAAACAGTTCCTACACATATTGCCCTATGACAATGGTTAACAACCCCACGACATGTCAACACTGTCCCTTCTCAAACTTGGGTTCCTATTAGCAGCTTTCCTGCCCCTTCCTGCCTTCTAGTCCTTGTCCCTGGACTGCTGTGCCTCATTAGTCCTGTTTTGTTCTCTGAGGCTGTCCAATCACCGGCTGAATGGTGAACTTCGGGAGTGACTTCATTACTGAGCTAAAAGGTGTCTGGGGGCCATACTCTTGGAGTTTCTCTAGTCTGTCAGGACAGTAGATCTGGTCTTTTTTTTTTGTGTGTTAGAATTTTGTTCTACATCCTTTTCCAGCTCTGCCCAGAACCCTCTATTGTGATCCTGGTCAGAGCAGTCAGTGGTGGTAGCCGGGCACCATTCAGCTGTACTGGACTCAGTCTGGTGGAGGCCTTGGTAGCTGTGGTCCATTAGTCCTTTGGACTAATCTTTTCCTTGTATCTTGTT